GCTCTAGTTTAATTGCACAACGCAAGTGAATGTTGAATGCATTAAACACCACAGATTCACTCAGAATGATTTTAGTATCATACAATTGGACAGGGGTTAGGCTTAGGTTTAGACTTGAGTTCTGTGAATAAAGCAATATCAATGCGTGGCACGAACGAACTTTGCGAGTTACCATAAATAATTGATGAGAAAATTCACCTGGTTTTAATTATTGTTGTGTTATTCTATACAGTCTAACATCTGCCTAGCACTAATGGATGCCTGTTCTGATGGTATATTCAGGCGTAGGGTTGAAGCAGTTGAAGGGGTAATGAGACTCTGTAACTGTGAATAAGTGATGAAGTTATTAATTAGAACTAATTTGGTGCGGAGACGGAAAAAAGTCGGTGAAGAGGGAATTCGAGGACGAAGTTTTGCAGTTGGAGACACCGAAAATGCGGTCAGCTCAAAACTTGTTGTGGACGGTGACGAGAATTCGGGGACGGATCCTCCAAATTCCCCCTTCTCTGCACCACAATAATTAAAACAGCAAACAGCAAGGTGGTTTATGAATTTATGTATTTGTAGATAATATCTCAACGAATGTATTGTTTCCATTTAAGAATAACACAAATAAATGCTGATGAATTATCGTGAAGTATTCACCAACAGCAAAACGATATAACGACATAACGAACATAACTGTTTAAGGCATTTATGTTTTCAAAACAAATAAAATCATGTGTGGAAAATGGAATTTAGAGCTTGTTGCATGGTTGGCTTTGTGATTTTGTGAAATTCTCTTTCATATTCTCCGATAACCTCATCATTCTTCAAATTCTTTTGCACAGAAGTTACTCAGCCTCTGTGGCCATTGACTCTGCAAATTTGCTCATTTTTCATCTAAATTTAAAATTTAGCGTGAAGTTCGGACAAGAAATTCATGATAGTTATCGTGCAAATGTCTGATATGATTCAGAATAGTGGTATATGATTTGGACGGATTAAACTGTTTGGAATATTGAACTTGTAATGAAAAGAGAGACTTTTAAAAGTTTGCTGGAAACCACAGAAACTTACGTTGATAACCGTTCATCAGAAAATTTGCTGCACACATGGTATCGAAATCGTTCTCTGGATATTGCTCATGAATTGGAGTCTCAAATTTGAATTATCAGTGATTGTTTGATTGTTATCAATGTAATTTATCATTATTATCATTATTGTTGTCATTTTTATCTCATTTTTTGCATATACGAACGAATAAAGGAAATGTTAAATGAGTCATGAAAATATTACTTCATTATTATTCAAATTTTCTCGTTCTTTTTCAAGTTTCTCTGACCATACACTGATGCAAGCGAGTGCATTCAAAAAGATCAGCAGCTGCAGATAAGCGTTTAACGACGGTGTTGTATACGGATGATAGCCACTTCCAGCATCTACTCGCTGAAAATTTCTAATCGCAAAGTAGATAATAGTAAAAGTAAGGTAGAAATTGCATGGGATAGTTTGCTGCAATGAAAAATGTTCGATATGATATTCGACAAAACTTTATTGAGCCTCACACCTGATGATTCTTTGGTTTCGTTGAGCCGAATCGCGTTGCTGCAAATGCTTTTGCCGTATACACTCCACTACCACGTTCCAGTTCAAAATATGGACGTATACACTGAAACTGGTTGAGCAATCGGATCCATCGTGCTTTATAAATCCAAAAAATTGCCTTACGCGAGGTAATTTAGAAGTAATGTGGAAGTAAGTTATTTTAATTTAAATGGACGTTCATGACGTATGTGCGGTAATGAGGGTAGAGAGTGTAAATTCATTTGCTGAATACGGACAAGAGGTTTATTTCCGAATTTACATAGCATTTATGAATATTTCGATTGTTTCAGCAGCCATTTTTCAATTCACGAAAAGCAAACCCGTATAAAGTAATTAATTTGGCTAGCAAAAATTCGTCACGTATAAGTGAGGTTGCTCACAATTTGATTATTGATCTCAGTAGAGCTATAGTGATGTTCAACTCTCAGCTGTGGTCTTCTCTTTAATTTTTCACCGTGTCTAATCGACGACGTATTCGGTGAATTGGACGTATTGTTATTGCCATTACCGTTACGTGTACGATATCGTCTACCGTAATCTGAAGTAACAACTGCTCTTAAAGGTGAAGTGAGAGGAGCAAACAAAAACCCGAAGGATTAGAATGAGAACGATCAAGAATTCACTGAAAATCAGAAAGTTACCCGAACGTTATCCCACAAACTTTTTTTTTCATGTTTGATTACGAAACGGATTGCAAAGGGAATCGATCAACAACAGTGCCAACATTGAGAATACCTTGAGATTTGGCTGGCGATGTTATTTGTGGATAAATTGGTTTCACTTGTCCAGTGTCGGCATTCAACGCGTTCACCGATCCAGGACGTATTTCAATCATTAGACTATTCGGCAGCAACGAAAGCACTTCAGTCAAATCGACATATGCTTCTTCGGCTGCCTAAAAGAATTGGCCATCAAAAGAATTCCGTTTGGATCAATGCAAAACCGCCTTGTCAGCAATTTTCGATGGATGCAATATACAGTTTCCTTTCAGAAGCATTCAAATTTTTCAATAGCTAATCCACTATAGCACTAAGAAATATTTCGAAGCACCTTATGTGCGATGTTACGCAGATGCTTGCAGCCATTTAGCGAGTTTGTAACACCTCGTTATGTTAGAATTTCTGGAAAATTAGTACTGAAACTACAAGAACACGCATGTGACTGACACTCTGCACGATAGGATCGCTTTTTCCGGTTGCATTCACCACCAAATGGAAGACATTAGGTGAATTTGATTTATCCATGACAGTTTCGAGAATACGATTCGCAAGAATCTCAGCAAACTCATCCACATGTCTGCAATGATTATATTCAGATGAATTGTGAGTTGATGAAAATTATTCGTTTATATTTGACTAATTTTTCAGCAATCTTATTGAAATTTCAATTATTCGTTGTCCTTAAGTCTGACCCAACGTGAGCTGAGACAGTTTTCAGTCAACTTCCTAGAACAGTGGTTCTCACGTTTGGGTGCTCCATTACCCCCTTTTGATGATCTGGCAAGCCGCCGTTAGCCCACCCACCTCCCCGACCCCTGTTAAATATGGAAATCACACATTCATGACCGTTATCTTCAGATGACTGTTACGTTCAATCTTATTAGCACGTTCATGATGGTGATCGACATCGCTGGGTCGTTTCTTGTTGTTAGACCGTTGTGTTGCTCAGTATTGCAATCGATTATGATTGCATGAAAAGCTATTGTCTATGATGGATTCTCATTCTTTTCAGACGTGTTGTATTCACTCTCATAGCTATTGCATGCGAATATCGTTCTCTTCATGGGTTTTTATCATTCACTTCGTTTCATTTCACTTCACTGTTCGAATCAACTTCTCACTCTGTAGCACATACTGTTTACTGGATACGTTGACGAGTGTTGACAACCGACATCAACAATACAGCAATCGAATATTATTGCTGAACAACGTTCGAGAGTCAAATGATTATTTATAGAGTGTATTTGATAGAATGAGAATTTGACTTTAACTATTGAATGAAATGAATGAGAAATTTGCAGATGAGAACACTTTTGGTGATAAAAGCTATGAGAGCGATTGTAACAGCACGGAAAAGAATGAAAACCGTGTTAAAACGAATGAAAACCCTGTTAGGCCAGGACGAGCTAATGATACTCACAAAATAGGAGAATGTTGCTATCAACTAATTGCATTTACATATCCGAATTAAAAAACACCATCACAATGGCGGTCTATCATAAAATAACAACTGCACGGAATACTAATTTCCCGACCCCCTCCATTACCCTTTGTCGCCTTCAAATTACCCAAAGTGGGTAATTTCACCTCCTATAAGAACCACGAAGCAGTTCCAGATCGAAGCAAAAGTTGTCTGTAAAAACAGAGAAATCGAAAAGAAAAGTAGACGTTGAAGTGTCAATAATGGCTAATTCAATAATGGATGATGAAACACTGTCTCAGTATTATTACTCGGAAAAGGGTTACCGTCGTGGTATAGTTCCGTAGAGGAATGATGCCAGGAAGCATA